CCTCCCAGACAGCTCTGCCCCGTAGGCAGTGCCCCCTCCCCACCTCCCAGACAGCTCTGCCCCGTAGGCAGTGCCCCCCCAACACGGCTCTGCCTGTGCAGCCAAACCTCATGGTGTTCATCGCGGAGCTCTTCTGGTGGTTTGAGAACGTCAAGCCCGACTTCGTGCAGCCCAGGGACGTGCAGGAGCCAAGGGACGGTGAGTGCCGAGTGCCCACCCCACGCCCATGTGGTGCACATGCGGTGTTGGGGGCTGCGAACAGAAAGCCATGTGCCCGGGGTCTGTGAGCGTGGTACGTTTGTTTTGCAGCTAAAGCCATGTTGCACCCCAAGAGCAGCCGGGCCCCCGTGCCCATCTCCAACGCCACCAAGCGCAGCTTTATGGCCAGCCCGGCTCCCCCGAGCCCAGCTGACCCACCGCCACCCACTGAGGCCTGCGCCCGGGCCCACCTGCACTCTGAGGACCCTGAGTGTCTGTGAGTCTGGGCCCTGGGCCCTCCCCTTTCACAGCAGACCCATGCAGGGTGGTGGGTGGGATGGGGAGCTGTTGGGGAGGGAGGGGTGGGAGTGCAGCAGTTAGCTGTGCACTGAGGGGCCCTGTCAGCCACACACACCCACGCCCAGTAGCTGCCATGCATGGGCTCTGAGTTGGCATGCCAGGCATGGGCCAGCGCTTCCTCGGTGATTTGAAAGCAGTGCTACTTTTGGACCTTCGTGGTCTCACACCCAGGAGAACTCCTGGGGGCCAGCGCGCAGAGCGGTCACTGCCCTCTCTCCCTCCTTGCCTTCTAGTGGAAGAGGGACGTCGACCTTCAGTCCGTCTCACCCGCTGCTGCCACTGAGGCAGAGGCAGCAGAAGACCCTGCAGGGGGAGGACGGCCCGGGTGAGAACTGCCGCCCTGCCCCTGCCAGGACCAGCTGCAGAGCACCCCCCTGTGGGGCCTCTGCAAGAACGCACTCCTCTGCCCACAAAACACGTGTGCACGCATGCATGTACACATGTTCATGAAGGACTTCCAAAGTCCTTGGGAAATTCCATTCTCTTTCAGTTCCATTTCCCTACAGACGTGTCCAGGCCCATTGTACAGACTTGTGTGTGAGCATGAGAACTGAAGGAGAAGGGTGTCTCCAGACATGCCCTCACACGTGCCCTGCCCCCACCACTTGCACACATCCCTGGGGTCTCTTCATGGGGCTGGTTTTATCCCGTGCACATGTGCACGCACACACTCGGGGCCGGGCGATGTTCTGTGCTGCTGTCTGCAGGCTGCTCTGAGCGGGCTGACCGCCCACGCAGGTGGCCTCGGTCATCGTCATGATCGCCTCATTTCCTCTGTGGACACATGAGGGTGCACCCGAAAACCAGAGTTGTTTTTTCCCTCAAAGCTATGTATTTAAGTTTTTGGTTTTTTTTACAAAACAACCTTATCACCTTCAAAGTCCTCTGCATTACACTTAATACATTTATCACGTCTGCGGTTCCATTCTTGGACGCATTTTTCAAACTCACCTGTTTGGATGGCTGACAGCACCTCCCTCGTTTTTTCTTCACTTCTACATCGTCAAATCGCTGTCCTTTCATGTCCCTCTGCATTTGTGGAAACAAAAAGAAGTTGCAGAGTGAGGTCAGGTGTGTGGGGGAAGAGAGGCATGCTATTGTTTTTTTCCCCAAAAAATGGTGCACTGAGACGGCTGCGTGAGCAGGTGCATTGTCATGGTGGCAAAACCAGTCCCCCCTCTGCTACAAATCAGGCCTTTTTTGTTGCACACTGTCACACAATCTTTTCAGTACCTCTGTACAGAAGCTTGATTCACAGTCTGACCAGGTGGAACGAACTCCAAATGCACTACAAGTCAACATTGTTTTCACCCGTTTGGGAAGTGGACAGACATTCAGATGGAGGTTTGTCATCAGTTGACATTTCACCTTTGTTGAGACAAGAAAACCCCTCGTACACTCGTTTCCCACAGCGCCGTCCTCGTAAGCTGTGTTCAACGTCACAACAGTTTCTGCGACATTTTCCCCAGCAGGAAAGAAAATGTCTCAGCTGCACGCTGTTCTCTTAAATCACAAAACACGAGGTTCAAGCAAAACTGCTTCGATAGTAAACTTCACTGTGACCAGAGAGAACCCTCCCAGGCGATGCCACCGGGTGCACTGACTCAGCGGGGAACGTGCACTAGGAAAGCCCCGCTCTGCTCAGCACAGCGCCTTTTTCTGGGGGGCACTTCCTCGTGTGCATGCATACACACACGCACACTCCTCTTCACAGTGGTTTTAATCTACAGGCACCCTCAAGTACAGGCACACCTGGGGGTGGGGGATGTGCCACAGCCTGAGTGTCCATCTGCTGCCCTCATGTGGCTGAGTCGCGGTGCATTTCCTCGAGAAGCGGCCCTGAGACTGGGAGCTGGGGTTCACAGTAAGCACTCCGTTTCCCCACCTGCAGATCAGAGACACCGGTCCAACTCCCTGACAAGAGCTGATGGGCAACCTCGCACTGTGGCCATGGCGTGGTCCGAGAGGAAGGCCAGGTGAGTGAACTCCACCCAGGGTACCTACAGTCCTCGTCACTCCGTACTCACGTGCTCAAGGGCTGGTCCTGGGAGGCATGAGTCCAGGCCCCTGTCGTCACGGTGCCACTCCCAGTGGCCAGCCAGCTGGGTGCCTTCAGGACTCTCCTTCTGAGTCCCAGGCACTGACCAGGGTCTCTCTCCCCACAGACCCGTCTCTCAGCCTGCTCCCTTTGCCCTTCATTATTCGGTCAGCGGTGATGGGGACCTGGGCTCTGGAGACAGTGTCAGCCTGGCTCGCTCCATCAGCAAAGACAGCCTTGCGTCCAACATCATCAGTCTCACACCCCAGAACCAGCCCCACCCCCCCACGGCCACCGCCACCACCAAGACCAACGGGAAGAGCCTGCTGAGCCACGTCAACATGGAGGACGACGACGAGGAGCTGGTGGCCGTCCTCCGGACAGAGGCCGCCGCCCTCGGGACCGATGTGCCAGGACCAGGCACCCCCCAGCGGGCCTCGCCCCGAGCTCCGGACGCCACCAGCAGGCCTGACAGTTTCTTCTTGGAGCCGCTGATGCCGGCCGTGCTCAGGCCAACGAAGGAGAAGCAGGCCGTCACCAAGGAGGATGAGCGGGGGGAGGGGCGGCCCCGCGGCCTCTTTGCCAAGCGGCCCAGTGAGGGCCACCAGCCTGTGGCCCGCAGGAAAGCCGCCAGCAGTCATGGTGGCCGGGACCTGAACCGGACTTTCACCCCCATTTCCTCCTCCGAGGCCGCGGCAGGCGCGAATGCTGAGCTCTCCGAGGCGGGAGTACTGTCGGCAGGCGCTTCGGGCGAGGTGTGTGGCCGGCCTGCGGCCAGCGGAGGCCCCCACTCCCTTCCTCAGGAGCAGGCGGCTGACGGCTTCTTCCTGCACGTTGCCAGGGCCGTGGAGGAGCCTGAGGGCAGCCCGGGTGTGCTGTGCTCGCCAGACTCCGAGCCGTGGACGATCCTGCGGCAGGACTCCGACTCCGACCTGGAGCACGGTGCCGGCGAGGAGGAGTCGGCGAAGCTGCAGGAGGACCTGCAGGTGAGGGAGCACGAGGACAAGGACGATGCCAGCGGCCGCTCCAGCCCCTGCCTCAGCTCCGTCTCGCAGCTCAGCGGCCTGTCTGTGGCCAGCGGGAGCGTGAGAATGACCAGCTTTGCCGAGAGGAAGTTCCAGAGGCTCAACAGCTACGAGACCAAGTCCAGCACCAGCAGCTCCCAGAAGACCACGCCCGACGCGTCCGAGAGCGGCCCCGCGCCCCTGACCAGCTGGAGGCAGAAGCGGGAGCAGAGCCCGAGCGGGCAGGGCCGGGACCACGCCAGCCTGCTGGCCTCGGAGCTGGCGCAGCTGCACATGCAGCTGGAGGAGAAGCGGCGGGCCATCGAGGCCCAGAAGAAGAAGATGGAGGCGCTGTCGGCCCGGCAGCGCCTGAAGCTGGGGAAGGCCGCCTTCCTGCACGTCGTGAGGAAGGGCAAGGCCGACGGCGGCCCCCAGCCCCTCCGGCCCGAGCACGGGGCCAGGGAGCACGTGCCCCACAACGGGGAGGCAGCCGGGGAGGCCGGGCCGGGCACAGACGGGCTGTTCTCTGAGACCCGGCTGCGGAAGGAGGGCAAGGTACTGGAGGAGGGCCTGGGCGAGGTGCTGGACATCAGCGAGGGTGACCTGTCCATTGAGAAGCTCAGCGAGACCATCAGCACGCTGCAGCAGGCCATCCTGAAGATCTCCCAGCAGCAGGAGCAGCTGCTCACTAAGCCCCCTGCCCTGCCCGCGCTGGCACCCAAGAATGGCGCCCCAGACCACAAGGGGAAGGTGGCCATCCACTTCCCCGAGCCGCTGTCCCCCCCGGGCATGACTGCACACCGCAAGCCTCCACGCCTAGGCCAGGCACGGAGCTCCCGGGCGGGACGGCCCACGGAGCTGAAGGTGCCCAGGGAGCGGCTGCAGGGCACCTCCCGGGGCAAGACCCCGACGCCCAGTGCTGAGGGCCCCGCACACCTGCGGTCAGCACCCGTGGGCAGCCACGCCAGGACACCCCCTGATCCGGGCCAGGACGGCGCTGGTGCTGACGGGTGTGAGCCCCCCGACACGCTGCGTTTCGACCCACACAGACTGCACGACGCCAACAACCAGCGTGTGCCCAGGGACCCCAACGTCCTGGCCGAGGCACTGGCCGAGCTCCCAGTGAAGGGGACTGGCCTCGGGGAGGAGCCGCCACGTGGCAGGGCCAGCCTCATCCAAGTGGACCTCTCTGACCTCAAGACGCCCGACGGGGACGGGGAAGTCCACGATGGCTCTGGCGGCCTGGCTGGCGACAGTGACCAGAAGCTTGGGCTTGGCTTCTTCTTCAAGGTACTGACAGGTGGAAGGTGGGGGTGGGGACAGGACATTGTCTCAGAGCAGGGCTAGCGGGTCAGGGTGCTGCCCTCTGCTGGGCGTCTTCGCTCAGCAGGCTGTGCGCAAAGCCCACCAACTGCCAGCGAGTCCTTGCCCGCTCACTGCGACTACAGGACGGGATAGAAGCCTCCCACGTGGGTTTCTGAGGTGGGGACTCTGCAATGGCTGGTCGATTTGGGCTGCTGGCCGGCTGCGCCTCCAGGAGCTCTTTGCTGCCGTCTTCACGGGGGCTGCCGTGGGCCCCGCCTGCCCTCCCTCGGCACTGGCTGCTCACCCTGGGAAGGCGCCCCGGCCCAGGGCCTGTCTGGCGAGCGTGAGTGTGGAGGGCCAGCCTCTCGAGGTGTCTGTGTTGCGGCCCACAGCCTGCCCTCGTCCCTCCCAGGGGCTCTGGGCGGCCCCCTGGTGGCTGTGCGGTGGTGCGGCGGGTGACATGCTGTGTGCCCTGCAGGATGAGCAGAAGGCGGAGGACGAGCTGGCTAGGAAGCGGGCGGCCTTCCTCCTGAAGCAGCAGCGCAAGGCCGAGGAGGCGCGGGCACGGAAGCAGCAGCTGGAGGCCGAGGGGGAGCTCAAGCGGGACGAAGCCCGGTCAGTGCCGCCTCCCCGCCCGCCCCGCGGTGCCCGCCGGTCCCGCCGCGGCCTGGCTGACGGCGTGGCCTCTGTGTCAGGCGCAAAGCGGAGGAAGACCGGATCCGGAAGGAGGAGGAGAAGGCACGGCGTGAGCTCATCAAGCAGGAGTACCTGCGCCGGAAGCAGCAGCAGGCAGCCCTGGAGGAGCAGGGCCTGGGCAAGCCCAAGGCCAGGCCCAGGAAGCCGCGGCCCAAGTCTGCCCACCGAGAGGAGTCCTGCAGCGACTCGGGCGCCCAGGGATCCTCCACGCGTAAGCTGGCTCTCGGGGATGGGGTGGGGGTGGGGGGCGCGCCCACGGCCAGCACTCACAGCTGGTCTCTCTGTAGCCGACAACCTGAGCCGTGCCCAGTCGGGATCCAGCCTGTCCTTGGCGTCGGCTGCCACGACCGAGCCGGAGAGCGTCCACTCAGGAGGCACACCATCCCAGCGGTGAGCCGGCCAGGACACTGAGGGGTACCTTCCAATCTGGATGCGACGACACACCCCTCCTGCCCCCGCCGCGCCCCCCCCCCCCAGCTGCTCGCTTGCCAGGACTCTGTGCTGGATCGCACTGGGGTTGGTGTTGTGTCCCCCCAGCCTCCTTCGTTCTGGAACATTCCGAAGCCTCCCCCTCTGTCTCGGAGGGCTGGCCGCTTGGTTTGGGCTCCTGGGTGTGGCTCAGGCTCTGTGGAGCTGTCCGGCTCTCCTCTGGTGAGCGCCTGGGGGTGCAGGGCAGTGGTGAGGAGCTGCGTGGCTTGTGGGAATGCCTCTCGGCTCTGCCCGGCTCCCTCGTGAGCACTCTGCCTGCAGCCCTTGGTGAGCTGGCGGAGAGCGCGCCTCTTCCCATGTGGCCACTACGTGCACTCTGGACACACGTGCCCACACGCAGTCTGCATCCGCACGTGCCAGCAGGTCCACCCAGTCGTGGCTGTGCACTTGCCCACACCTGCTCATTGTACACCCTCATCTGTCTGGCTGTGCACGTGCACATGCACAGGGTGGGTGCAGCAGACGTGTGTGTGCACACTCGCCTATGTGTCTGCTGACCACGGCCGGGTCTGCAGGGCTTGAGGAGGGCACTCTCCCTCACAGGCTGGGCTCGGATACCCTCTGAGGTGCGGATTCTGTTCCCTCCACCACACCCCTTGCAGCCAGGGCCTCCTTGCTGAGGTCACTTTGGGCGATAGCAGTGGACTGGCCAGGGTCATCCTCCACTGCAGCTCCAGCCCCGGTGCCCTCTGGCTCTGTTCACACTGTCCACGGGAGGGCGGGTGACCTTTGCCCTGTGTCCATGTGGCTGAAGGCGCCTCCTCGCCCCCATCCCTCCTCTGCCAGAGTGGAGTCGCTGGAAGCCCTGCCCACGCTGAGCCGGAACCCAAGTAGGAGCACGGACCGAGACTGGGAGACGGCGTCCGCCGCATCCTCCCTCGCCTCCGTGGCCGAGTACACAGGTAATTGCCGTGCAGGCACAGTATGCTGGTGTGGCTCCCGCGGGGTCGGCCGAGGTCATTGTTGGCACAACACAGTGGAGGCCTCATGGCCTGGTCCTGCGGACCGGCCGCCTGACGCAGGAGCGGGTGTGTTTGCTCCGGGGTGCCGCAGCGCCCCGGCCAGGGGTGGGCTGGGGAGGGGCAGTGTGGGCCGGCCGGGCTGTGGGGCTGTCTGTCCACTGATAGCCGTCCCCAGAGGCCAGGCTTGGGAACAGGTCCAGGGTCTGTGCGCTGACTGCTCTCTGTCCGCCCGCGCAGGTCCCAAGCTCTTCAAAGAGCCCAGCAGCAAGTCGAACAAGCCCATCATCCACAACGCCATCTCGCACTGCTGCCTGGCCGGGAAGGTCAACGAGCCACACAAGAACTCCATCCTGGAGGCGAGCGCGGGCGCGGGCACGGGCTCGGGCTCGGCAGGGCCCTCGGAGTGCCAGGGTCCGAGGCAGGAAAGGGGGTGGGGGTGGGGAGCGCTGGGCACCGTGCAGACAGCGGGGTCCCCTCGGGCTCTTCATGGAGCAGTTGTTCTCCTACTTAGAGCGTGGTGCACCCACGACGTGCGCGCCCATCACAGACGCGCTTCCCACCGTTGTTCTACCGTTTGTCTCCTTCATCCCTGGCCTCACAGAAGACCGCCAGACACCTTCAGCAGCAGGGTCTGCCCGTGCGGCAGAGCCTGGGTCAGCCAGGAGCTGACAGCTGCTGGTGGGATGGAGGGAGGTAGTGCCCATCTCCACTGCTGGCAGGGTGGGGAAGGGTCCAGTTGCTACAGGAGGCAGTAGTGTGGCGGTTCCTCAGAAAACAGGCCAGAGCACCCAGGGTACACCCCCAGGATGTGCAAGCAGAGGCCGGGACAGTCCCCGGAGGCCGCCGCCAGCAGAGTGGTGCCAGCAGCCGGTGGCATACTCCTCACACAGTGGGAGGAGAGGGGACGTCTGGGGCTGGGGGAACATGGCTGAGTGACGGACAGACCAGTCTGCGCGCCCTGAGAGAGCAGGCCCGCGTTTAGCAGCGGTGCAGGGTGGCCGCACAGCTGTGAGCAGGTGAACTAGCAGGCCTGTGTGGCGGACGCATTCCCGGCAGCTGATGCCAACAGACACCGCTGCGCTTGGTTCTTTGATTGAGTGGTTTAGGGTCATGGCTTCCTGGGACAGCCCCGCTAAGGGCCCCAGGGACGACAGCTAGTCTCTGCTCCCCGAAAACAACAGGAATAGGGAAGGCCGGGAAGATCAGCAGCAGGAGCCAGAATGAGCGGCTCCCAGCTGGCTGTGCCCTGGCCTGCGCCCCGGACACGACAGCCCGTGGCCCGAGATTCTGCGGAGGCGGCTGACGAGCAGGGACACGGGGAGGGGTCTCACGTTTAGGTGACCCTCGGCTGCAGGGGTTGGATGCACTCCTCCAAGGGGGTTCGAATGTAAGCCAGGTCTCCCCATGGGGTCCCAGCGGCGGCAGCAGCTTCCCCGGTCGGCAGGAGCCTCGGCGTTGCGTACGCTCATTGGGAGCCGAGCGTGGCTGTCAGTCCCTGGAGCGTCCTGACGCCTGCACTGCACGCGGGCCTCATTGGGTCCCCACAACAAGCAGACTGTCAGCTGCTCGGCGCCCCGCCGGCCCCGCCTGCTGCAACGGTGTGACGCCTCAAGGCTGCACAGATGCCACCACCTCCCCTCGTTAAACGGTCTCGCCATGCTAGACTGGCACCCGTCTCCTTCCTGCCGTGGTGACCTGTGTGCTCGGGCCACTGGCTCACGGGCCCCAGAGCCCATCCCCAGGCACCCTGTGGTGGGACTTTGTGGTTGTCCTTCCACAGTCGTCCCTGGGGTGGTGGGCACTTGGGCTTTCCCACGTGGCAGCTGCGAGGAAGGCCGCTGTGCTTGTCCATGGCCAAGGTGCGTCTAAGAGCCACGGCTGATACGAAACAAGGGGTTAAGTAAGAAGTCTCCCCGTGGGAGCACCCTTGTCTGAGGCGTGTTGGGTGCCGTGGGGGAAGAAGGGCTGAGGTGTTGGGGCTCGTAGCGGAGGGTTCACAAAGAGAAGGATGGGCAGCGGGGCCGTACATCACGTGGACAGGACAGCTGCGGAGCCATGTCCTTTGGTGGAGCAGGCATTTCAGAGGATGGGGGAAGCATCTCCAGGGACAGCGAAGAAGCCGCTGAAGCCAGGAGGGGGTGGAAGAGCCACCATTGCCTATTGCTGCCGCGGCCTCAGCAGGACCAGTGGGCACCAGATGGGTGGCATCAAGAGCCTGCCTTCTCACTGTGTCTCAGGCTGCGTGAGGGTACTGAAGGAGATTCTGCAGACCGGCTTGTGAGCACCAGGGGTCCAGAGACAGGGCCATCGGACACCTGTGGGGCCAGCGGCATTCCACACAGAGGCTGCTGTGTAGGGTTCTTACAGGGTCCCGGGAGGGCTCGGTGCTTACGGGGCAGAAACGAACCTCACGGAGGGTTTCCCGTGCGCTCCAGGCTGCCGGGCTGTCCTGTGAGGAGGACGCTGGGAAACCACACCAGGATCTTGTCCCCACACTTCCAAGAACGTGGAAATGAGCACACATAGTCCCCCGAGGGTACAGAATCCTCAGGGATAGGGTTCCAGAAACAAACTCACGGTTACCGGCCTTGTGCACGCCCAGCGCTGCAAGTCTTCACTGGGGCCACAGCCTGGTCTTTCTCCCAAGGGGCCGCAGGGGGTGTGAACTGCCTCCCGTCGTGTGCTGCCACACCAGGGCTCCCAGGCAGAGAAGTGTGGAGACGGGGTGGGTGAAGGGCTGGCTCTGACAGTGTTGTGTAGTACAGGGTTTCCCAGGGGTGCACTGTGACCCACGGGTCCCAGGCAGAAACGTGTTCTCCCTTCTGAGCAGAGCTGCTGGGTGAGGGCACCGCCCTCCCTCCTCAGCCGTCCGCAGGGGCACGCGGGTTCGGTTTCCCCTCCTGGTCCTCACTAGCGGCTCCCAGCCTTTCTGAACGCAGCCCGGGTGGGCTACCGAGTGACTGCTGAGGCTCGGCCTTGCACCGCGTGTCAAGCCGCTGCACGGAGGGGCTGCTGTGTTGTGGGGCTGCCCTGGCTGTGGGAGCAGGTGCCTGCAGTCTCACTCTTTGCTCTCCCCTCCTGCCCCCCCTCTCCCCCCCAGGAGCTAGAAAAGTGTGACGCCAACCACTACATCATCCTGTTCCGAGATGCGGGCTGCCAGTTCCGGGCCCTCTACTGCTACTACCCCGACACCGAGGAGATGGACAAGCTGACCGGTACGGGGCCCAAGAGCGTCACCAGGAAGATGGTCGACAAGCTGTACAAGTACAGCTCAGACCGCAAGCAGTTCACTCTGATCCCGGCCAAGACCATGTCTGTCAGTGTGGACGCGCTCACCATCCACAACCACCTGTGGCAACCCAAGCGGCCGGCCGCGCCCAAGAAGACACAGACCCGCAAGTAAGCCCGCAGGGCGCAGCACAGCGCAGGCGGCTTCATGCCGGGAGTGGCCCTCCTCGTACAGCACGAGGAGCAGGAGTGTGGGCCGGGCAGCTGCAGGCTCTGGGCTCTGGGGCAGGGGTGTCCTTGTACTTGACGTTCCCCCAGCATCGGTGACACAGCACAGTTACTTCGTGGGCCTCCCCTCCCCCGGCGCAGGGGTGCTGGCTGGTGCGGAGCCTGACCCTGGGCCAGGCGTCTGGACGTCTCTCGGGGTACCCTCCCCCAGGCCCGCCACGAGAGTGTGACTGTGTCTGCTGCCCCGCTTGCCTGCAGCACTCTACAGGGCCGGAAGGTGCTCGCTCTTTGCTGCTGGAAAGTCACCGGCTGGACTCCCAAGCGAGGGTTCCCAAGCGCCGGGCCCTCGGGGCTGCTGTGGTGTTGGGCACACCACGTGTCCACCGACAGCCCGAGGCCGGTGGCAGGTACGAGGAGGAGCTGCGCCCCTGCCTGGTGGGCTTCCTGACGGTGGACTGTTCTGCTCTCCGCATGCCCCTCCTGTGAGCCGGTGCACCGCGGTGCTGGGCCCTCCTGTTGTTAGCGTGTGCTTACTGGCTGCCGGGCCCCTCTGCTGCCAGGGCGCCACGCTGTTTGGTTGTATATTTACAGGCGGTCACGGAGCTGCCGGCTGGCCATGGGGTGGCACTGCATCCTTTGGTGTCGGTCGGCCGTGCGTGTGGTTGCTGAGTGTGTGCAGACAGACCCCTCCTGGGCGCCCAGCCTGGCACAGGGTTGTGGGGGACGGGCCCGGCGTGTGTGCCGGGGAGGGTTCTGGAGTCACGCCCATTGGCATGCTCTCTTGGAAGTGTTACTTGAACCTGCCCCGCCCTTCAGAGAAGGCGGAGCCACCCACCAGCAGTGATGGCGCGGGAGGGAGGTGGGTGCAGCGGCCGAGTACACTGCGTGCTGTGCTGGACCTGGGCCCTGGCCAGTGACCAGTGATCGCTCGCACGTGTCCTGGGTTTCTCCCTGTTCGTGCGGTCCAGAGTCTCCCCATATTTATTTTAAGGAAGCACTCCAAGGTAATAAAGTCGTTGACTGATTTGCTTTCTATGAGTTGCCGTGTGAGCTGTGACCATTTGCTGTCGGCGGTGGTATGGCCCCTGCTCGCACCCGTCCCCCTCCCTGCAGCACGGTGTGGCGGACGGCACAGGCCTGCTGATGGGCAAGGTGCCTGTGGTGCTGGGCTGGGGACCAGCAGAGTGCTGAGACCCTCGGGGTGTACAGTGCCCCGATTCACAGCCTGTGGGAGCTGTGTCCAGCAGCCCCCATCTGTGTCCTTGGTCGCAGCCCCCTCTGTAGTGGGGCGTGCAGCCCTCGCCGGCCACAATGCACACATGCGCCCTTGGCTGGTGGGGAGGGGGTGGCAGTCGTGAGGGGAGCTGGGCCTCGGGCCCTCCCTGGCACATACCCACGCCCACCCAACACCACGTATCTGTGCTGATGAAGACATTGGGGACAGACAGCTCCTCCCTGGGTGCCATCATTCTCAGGGCCACCACCACCAGCAGCAGAGCTGCCTCTCACTCCCAGGCCACACCTGCTCAGGGGGCCCCTGTTTGGGGCCTCGCTGGGGGCAGGGGTCTGCGGGTCTCTCGGGTGGTGGTCAGGGACCAGTGCAGGGATGTCTTGCTCGGCTGGGAGCAGGATTCTGTCCTAGATGTCTTTGCACCCACACAGTCGCCCCTCACCCTCCATCACATTCCAGGGCCTGCTCTGGCCAGGCTTCCAGGGAGGGCGTGGGGGAGGTGGGGGCACGGGCATTCCTGAATGGCTCCTGAAAGGGGTCCCGGAAGTCTGTGAACTGTCAGCCACCAGACGCGAGGAGCCAGGCTGGTGGGCGGCCCAGCGCATGGCCGCAGGAGGGCACACCGCAGCGTGCCTGGCAGTGGGCTTGCAGTTCACCTCGGGCTGCCGGGTCTTGTCTTCAACCCAAGAGGGAGAGCCCTTGACCAGGGTGAAGGGGGGGCGGGCAGAGGCCCACAGCGCCGGCAGCTGCTCCCCGGAGGCTGTCTCTGGGGCTCAGGCAGAGAAGCCCCTTAACACCAAGCCCACTGGCTCTGCCTGGGCCGAGCTGTGGGACCGCTGCCTGTTCTTAAAGGGCCGGTGCTCCTTCCCCTGGCTGGAGAGGGCGCCCCGTGGGGCTGGCTGGTTAGACTGACGACCCTGCCGTGCAGGAAGACGTCCAGCAACGTCACACAAGACCCCGCCACGGGATCTGTGCGCACTCGGCTCACGGCACCCAGGGTGCAGTGCCCTCCCACTGCCAGCCCCCAGGAGCGGGTATGTCTCGCTACCATTCCACATCAGTGCTGTACAATACCGGAATCGTATGGAGCCACCGTTTGTGAAGACATGGCCCGTGTGTGCGTGTGTCAGATGCCTGCGAGAGGCACGAGGGTGGATGTGCTGTTTGCGCCATGGTCACGTCATCTCTGGGAGGAAGCTGACTGCCAGCCACAGGGAGGCGGCTTGGGGTGTGGGTGCGGGTGGGGGGTGTTGGGCAGGCAGGGATCCCATCTGGCCTTGGAGTGGGGTGAGGACCGCCAGGGTCCGGCAGACCTTTCCGCTCCCGTTCCCCTGAGAGAGCCAGTGCTCTTGCCCTTCGGGTCTCAGGACTTGCCCCTAAATGTGTCTGAGGGTCGTGGGGTTTTATTTCACATTGAAATAATTTCTGTATCACTGCTGGTGTAGAGAGCAGACCAGCAAAGTATACACCGGCTGGCAACTCCTCCACTTGCTGTTGGGTGGCGGGCATGGCGCTCTTCGAGCCGGGCAGCCCTGCCACCCCTCCACATGGTGGCATCAGCACATTGCTCTTCACGGGCAGCTTCTCTGAGCCTGCCTGCTCTTGTGACCTTGACCCCACGGGGGCCTCCATGAAGGGTGCAGCGCTCAGAGCAGACTCCTCACCCCTCAGGCTCCATGGTGGTTTGGGTCACAGAGGACGGGGGGCTATTTCTGATTTCAGATCTCAGGGCATTACTTCAGGGGTCTGCCCAGAACGTCTGGGATCCCTGGGTGCTTGAGACCCGGGACTGCCTTTTGCTTTGATCTGGAATCAAAATCTTCTGTATGGGAGGGTCAGCTGAAAGTTACTGCTACAGGACACATGTGCCTACCTGAAACAAAACACTAAGGTGAAGCGGGGGCCTCAAGGGCTCCTCCCTCAGACTCACGTGCTTCCTCCCTCAGACACAGACGTCTCCATCAGACTTGCGTGTCTCCTCCATCAGTCCTGTGTTCCTTGAGGTTTGGGGAACAGCCCTGGCTCTCCTGGAAGCATGCAGAAGACCCTCTTGTGACTCTCCTGCCCTTTTCCCACCCAGGCAGTTTCCCCTGACAAGCTGCCCCCGATGAGCCCCATAGGTGTCCTGGGTCCTTCGGGAAACTATCAAGGTGACCCTCTGGGAATCCAAGAATCATTGCCATTGCTTTTTGAGCTGACCTTCTGCCTTGAATCTCAGTGCCCCCGGGAGCCCCTGTGTCGGAGGTGCCTCGATGTTGAAGGCAACCATGGAGTCTGGACAGGTGTCTGCACCCATTCACCCAACCCCATTGACTGCCCGGGGTCAACCTCCTGCGAGTCTGAACATCTCCAGCTGCAAGTCTCCTCCACGTACCCTTGTTTGCCTGGCGTCTTTTCAACGATTACATAAAAACACACATTTTTTGACTTCCGGGAAGATGGCGACGGAGTGACACGTACCAGAGGGACTCCGCAGAATCCATCCCAGGAGAGTTGCTTAGAGGGAACGTTAACACAATTGGAACGCAGGAGGAACATCATAAAGCTAAGTAGTCACAGACCCACAGGGTTTTGAGGGGCTGGGGGCTTTTGGCTTACCTCAGTGGAAGCCGGCTGGGGCTTGACTTTGGCCCTGCCACTGTCTCTGCCAGAGCCTGGATCATTTGGAGCCCGTAGGGGGGTTTAGTATCAACACAGCCACAGCTAGCCACTGCCACCTTGGGGCGGGGACTAAAGCCTCGCAGCTCCGTGGGCAGGGATCAGGGTTCAGCTACATTGTTTCTATTGTTTCATCTCTCCTCTCTGTCCCCCCACAATCTTGAAGGGCTGTCCAGGGGTTTTTTCTTGGCTCAGCTGCGGCTTGCGGGCACTGCCTCGGGGCAGGGACTAAAAACCCTTGCAGCTCCACGGGTGGGCGGGGATCGAGACTCAGCTACTAGTTGCTTTTGTTTCCTTCTCTATATTCACGTACAGTCTAAACAGTCTTACTTTTTATCATTTTTTCCTCCTCTTTGTCTCTTTCCTGTTCTCTCACACTCCACGGCTGACCTGCAGACCACTCCCCTTAGCCTAGGGCTTTTTTCCTGCACCACACCCAGCAAGGGGAGCTCCATCCTGTGTACTAGCCCGAGGCTGGGAAAAGCCCTGCTTTCCCTCCAGGGGATACTCTGCCCAACTTCTCACCAGGAATTCCTGCCTGTGTACCTGGGGCATAAGGTAGCTCGGCTAACACTCATCAACATTCCAAGGTGCTGCAGGAACCTCTGCCCAACCTCCACAACACCAAAGCAGGCAACCCACCAGCCTTCTGGGGCAGTCCCCTGAGAGGGAAGCCACAGGAGGATAAAGTGGTAGGTTAATTCCATAATAAAATTAGCAGTAGGCAGTTCGAAGAAGCATTCCTACGAGTCTCCCAGAGAGAGCCAGTGCTCTTGGACTCCCTGGAAAATGGCGCCTGGCTCCTCTAAAACAACGCAATGCAAACAGCCATGAGCCCCAAAGACCTCAACGAAAAAACAGGAGAAACAAAAGGCAATGGCAGAAGATGTTTGGAACATAACGACATGCATAGAAGAAGCAGACAGAGCTGCCACAGAAATAAGCTTTCAGAATGCTGCTTGGAGTCATACAGGATATGAGGGAAATAATACAGAAAAAGGATACAATGATAGAGGAGATAAAGACCATGCACAAAAGGGAAATACAGGAGCTTAGGGAGGAGATAACAAAAACCAGTAGCAGAAACACGGACCTCGAGAATCGACTGGAGGAAGCAGAGAAACGCACCAGTGACTTGGAGGACAGCCAAGCAGATTTTAAGAAACGTGAACAAAAATCTAATAAGATAATCAGAGAAGCTGAAGAAAACCTAAGAACTATGTCTGATGCTATGAAGCGGAACAACATTAGAATTATTGGCTTACCTGAGGAAGACACAGCAAAGAAGTCACCTACAACAATAGTGAGAGAATTCTTGGAGGAAAACTTCCCCAGCTTAATGAACGAAAACCAAGCAACCATTCAGGAGGCTGGAAGAAGACCAACTAGACTGAATCCCAAGAAGAAGTCACCAAGGCACATACTAGTTAAACTATCCAACTTTGAGGAAAAGGAGAAAATCATGAGAGCAGCTAGGGAAAAACAA